ACATCTGCTCAGAAGGGAGAAATAGGTCGGGCGGAGAGGGATAAGCAGGGCCGACAGGGCCGCGAGCAAAGACAGTGGAAGCGCTCATGAGACACAAAAACGACTTGACACAGCTCGTAAAGACGCCCGTGAGGGTACGAGCAATTTAAACAGCCACAGAAATCGATCGGTGCATTAGGCAAGGCTTGTGGTCGGACACATTCATCTGATGCGAACAGGAGTACAGGCACCACGCTCTGACGAAAGAAGCGAGCATGCTTTTGAAACGTCAGCCAAAATTCACCTTGGTCCCAGAAATCGGCTCTTCTTCTACTTCCCCTTCCGGGGACGATGAAAGGTATATTTTATCTGGACTTCGAATTTTTGCGCATATGTTTTACCTTACATAGAAGTAATTGCCGAAAATATCTGTCAACAATTAAGTCCACTTCCCAAACAACCCTGCCTTCATGATCAAGGCACGGAGAAGTTGGTTTTGGTCCGGGTACTTCTCTAATCCCTCACCTAGACTTTACTCAACAGCCCGCAAAGTGGCAAAATGCTCCCTAAAACAAATGGACAGACCCCCGTTAGTTAACGCATACATTTAACACACTTAAGTAGCTGCTACCTGCTCGCTGTTTATGCTAGAAGAAGCGGTGACGACGTTATAACGAAAGCCGACAAAAACCACACGGCTTCTCGGGTTTCACAAAAAATCAGCCGATGGCTTGCAGATTAAGCAGTGTTCTAGGCAGATAGCATAGTCTGCAAAGACAAGGAATACTCGAATGGTCATTTCTGGCTTTTAAGCCGTTTTCAGCCAGTCATACTCAGACCCAAGTGGTGAACCACCTTAGGACGGAACTCACTAGCTTTTGGATCAGAATCTGACGCTTTAACCATTAGGCATTAAGTTCCTTGTCTTGTCAGTTTACGTCAGGCGATATTATCACTCGTTTATGAACTTTCACCCACCGCTGCCGGCACTCAATTGTCCCTCTTTTTCCCTGTTTACTTTGATTAAGTGCCTTCTTATTTTGTAATAGTAAGCATGCTATTTCTGCCTTGTTTGCGTTGCATAATTGCCTATTTATTTTGTAACCGTAAGCATATTTTGTCGTACTGCTTTGCCATCGGTCGCATAACTCAACCCAATCTTTCTAAATAGGACATCCAAGTGTAACCTTCACCCCCCCTCCCTCCATGGAAATCTTTAGTGACATGCGATTACTTTTCCTATGCAAGGTTGTCTTACTCACCACAAACCGACAGCCACCAAAACTCTCCAAGTTTACTTTAACGTCCCGTTTGCTTCTATACCATTGCCTATAACGTGCGGAATATTGAGTAATTTTTGGCTATTTTTTCTTACTCAACGCAATCATCAAGTCTCTCCTAATTTAATTTTAACTCCGAGTTTTCTAGAAAATTGCTACTTATGGTCGTTTATTGTGCGATAATACCCCCAGCAGAAAAATTACAAATCACTGACAAATATAGACTGGACTTCTGGGTGCTACAGCACTCGCTTACTGCCTGGCTGCTTTAACGGGCACATTTTTTTGTCTGATATGGGTGTTTATCGGGCGTCATCACCCCTTCCTTTCGCTGTAGTCCTGCACATAAAGAATTCCCTTTCAATACTTAAGGCATCTAACAGTGGTGTCTGAATGTAAGTTCCCACCCGTTTCCGTATTTAAGAAGATAGATGTTTCGCAGTAAAGAGAGGTTCCACAACGAATATTCAGTGCACCTTTTTAAGGATACCCTTCTTGTTGAAACCGAGTTGCTGAGCAGAATCAAATGATAGTTTACAAAATCATTTATTTAAACATGACTAAAATTATTACAGGTGCGTCCACGTTCTGTATGAAGTCAGATTTACAGAGGAATGGTTTGAAGGCCTGGGCGCGGATGTGTCGGTACATTTGGAAGACAGAATGCTTCTGGGAGGAAGCTGGGGGGGAGGGGAATCCGAAGTGGAATTATGAAAGTATATGTCTAAGGAATTACAACAGCAAGTTCGTAGAGAATGCGACTAGGAGGAAAGAAGACGTAGCAGTTGAAAAGGAACAGTTGCTTGTCCATGAGGAGGTGCTCGTCGAGAAAGAGGTACTACTCAAAAACGGGGGAGGCGTGGAGGACGAGGTAGACGTGGAGGCTGAGGGAGACGTGGAGGACGAGGTAGACGTGGAGGCTGAGGGAAACGTGGAGGACGAGGTAGAGGTGGAGGCTGAGGGAAACGTGGAGGACGAGGTAGACGTGGAGGCTGAGGGAAACGTGGAGGACAAGGTACACGTGGTATACGAGGTGGACGTGCACGGTACCGTGCTGCAGTTAGGACATCTTCATCAGCAGAGTCTGTGGGATGGGCATCCGCCGAGCTGATAAGCTCCAAGTCGCCTTCCGACAACGCCTCCTGCACTCCAATATCTGATAATGCCTCTATCAGGTCGCCTTGTAAATGTTCACCTTTATGCAGGACATCAGGAAATCTTGCTGCGTCATGCGCCTCTGAACTAATGACACTCGTGAATACGAGGAGGACAGAAATCAGACTTTCCAGGGATACCATGGCAGAAGTGTATAAATGAGTTGGATGGTTTTTCGCACCGCTTTATATAGAGACATCAGATGCATATTTATGTCGCGCATAGTAAATAACATCCTGGTCTCACCCACGCACCTTTGCACTTTTGTAAAACCTACGTTTCGTACGCCTGCGTACCAGGTTTGCAGAACGGGTCGACGAAACGTGCGCTATTTACGAGATGTTCAATCGGTAGCATTCTTTTTCATTAGCTAAAATCATAGAGGGATTTTTGTTTAGTTTGCGGGAGTAAATGGCATTGCCCTTGAAAGCCCTACTAGTTATATGCCGGTGCGTCATACATATTTCTTCACTTGTCGCTTATAAAACGGTATTCACGAAGCGTGGCTTGCATTTTTTACAATTAACTCTTGTCTGGACCCTGCATTAACGCATACCCTGTATATTTTCCTGTCAAACATAGATAATTGGATTAGTCATCCACACGATTCACAACCTGTCCTAGACGTCAAGACACACAATGTAACAGGGGAATCTCTCATTCACTCCCCAAAACATGGCTACACTTTAGGTTGTATTCGTAGAGGCTTCACATAAAATAACAAATAATCTGGACACTTTTAAAAATAGGAATGTGAGCACAATGCAGCTGCGGATTGTACGACGCATTTTTTCATGCACATAAGTCTATTAATTGGAAGTCAGGGGTAATCAGAAAAGGTAAGAGTAGCATTGACACAACAGTCAACTGTGAGTGAGTTTGAGTTCGCATGTATGAATTAAGCAAGACACCATGGTTATGGAATTTAGTTGCTGGTTTCTCGCTCGCAAATTTCAGCGAAAATTCGTGAGGGTAAAACTTACTGTTTAACAGTCAGGTTTCTGAAGAAGAAGAAGAAGAAGAAGAAAAAGAAGAAAAAGACGTTACCACTTGAAACAAGAGCTTTATTTTCCTGACGCTTCGGATTCCCG